ATCTTTGCTACTTCCTGCTCTACAATATTCACCTGTTCCCCCTTCTTTCCCTCTCATTTTCCTCATTCATCAGTTCCTCAAAATACTCCTTCCATCTTCTCTGCACACTCTCCTCACTTGTTAGCACCTTTCCATCTCTGTCTTTAATCGCCCTTATCTGTTGCACATCCTTCCCATCTCTATCTCTCTGTCTCGCTAATCTGTACAAGTCCTTCTCACCTTCCCTCATGTCTAACTTGGCATACAACTTATCATATGCTTTCTGTTCGGCCTTTTTGTCCTGTACTTCCTCATTCCACCACCAAGTGCCCTTATCTTTTTTCCTCCTTCCAGATGACACACCTAGCACCTTCCTACCTGTCTCCCTGATCACTTCTGCTGTAGTTTCCCAGTCATCTGGAAGTTCTTCCTGACCACCCAAAGCCTGTCTCAACTTCTGTCTGAATTCCTCACAACATTCTTCCTTTTCCAACTTCCACCACTTGGTCTTCTTTTCTGTCTTTCCTCTCCTCTTCTTCCTGACCACCAGAGTCATCTTACACACCACCATCCGATGCTGTCTGGCTACACTTTCTCCTACCACCACTTTGCAGTCACTAATCTCTCTCAGATCACCTCGTCTACATAGAATGTAGTCTACCTGCGTACTCCTACCTCCACTATGCGTTTTGCTACCCTTCCACCGGGTCTCCTGCACACACAGTATATCTACCTTCCTTCTCTCCATCATCTCCGCCAGCTCTCTACCTTTCCCTGTCACTGTGCCAACGTTAAGAGTCCCTATTCTCAGACCTATACTCCTGCCTTTTCTCTTCTCTCTCTGTCTATACAACTCCTTCTACCTCCTCTCCTTTTTCGACCAACAGTAGCCTGATTTCCGCCAGCACCCTGTAGGTCAAAAGCACTGGTGGCGGTCGTTGTTAACCCGGGCCTCGACCGATCTGGTATGGAATTCGCACTGATGATTCGCATGTTTAAATTTGGCATGTTTTTATGCCAGATGCCCTTCCTGACGCAACCCTCTCTATTTATCCAGCCTTGGGACTGGCACAGAAGTCACTGGCTTGCAACCCCTGTGGCTAGATTCTCAATAAGAAACATATAATGGAATTTATACATCTATGACAATTTCACCAAAAGCTTAAATATTTTGAGCTTCATAAACACAGATGTTAAGGTGGAAGTGTTGCACTGAACTGCAAACAACTGTACAGACTATTAATGTGGCCAGGCAGTGTACATCACTGCCCACTAAGCTCGCTTTAGACATGTCAGTGATGAACAGACGTATGAACAGAAGCAGACTAATCATACGACTGAAAGCAAGGAAGACAAATGATACAAAGCCGAAGCTAAATATGCCAACATTTTTATTTACATTTCTTTTGTATGTGTTTGTGTGAATGTATGTGTTCACTTTGAAGTAGGGGAATGTTTCACAGTGAGTGTGGACGAGTGTGTAGAAGCTGTTGATCTCAGAGGTCTCATATCAGGCGCTTCTGGCAGATGGTGTTTGGGTTGTGAAGCAGGGGCCTGTACCATGAAGCGAGATTAGTGGCTTATCCAGCTAACTATGGGCTCAGCTCAGGTTTTCTGGTACCATGAAGCTGATTCACTTTTCATTGGCCTAGGTTACCACAGTGACTTATGCTGGGCAGTTAACCTGCTCCGGAGCAGGTTAACTTCAGAGGATCAGATCCAAACCTGCTATTAAATTGATATTTCTATAGACCAGTTTCTAACCAGCTGAGGGAGTCTACAGTCTCCATCGTGCTGTTTAAATGCACTAAGATTATTTGATTCCTGAGCATTTGATTCCTGACTGTATCCATATTTTTACAGCTCAGAATAACATGAGGAAACTCTGTGATGGTCTTTTATTAGAAAAATAATCCAGACACTTAAATATTCCCAATGATTAAAAATGAATATCTGATTTTAGGTGCAACTCCTGTCCTTGATGCTCTGGCTGCAAAACTGTAGGATTTTTTATTAACACATACAATAGTTTATCATCAGACAAAGAAGAAACATACTCATTGAATAAGACCCTTATAATAATACTGCACTAATGTACGGTCTTAATCTTTACTCAACATTTTAGTTACTTCTAGTGTTTCAATAACTTCTTATTTTAAAGCTGATTCTGATTTTTTAAAATTGTGGTTACTGTATGTGACCATAGTTTTTTGTTCACAGTTCACCCACCATAACATCACTTTTGCTCCGACTCTAAATAATTTTCCCCACAGCTATCCCTGCTCCATCTAATATTATTTTCAGTACTTCACTCATGGTGCTGGCAATGTTGCTTCCAATTAACAACCCCCCCTCTTTTACATGAACACATTCACAGACTGATAGGAAAACACAGACGTAAAGTGTGTTGATAACCGGCTTCATGGTACCGGTCATCCAGATTGACCAAAGTTAGGCTCATTGAAGCCAGATAACTCCAAGGGAGCCAAACCAAGTCGAACTCGCTTCGTGGTACGGGCCTCAGGTGCAGCTGATCCTGTGTGTGTACCTTGCAGCCCTCACAGGTAATGCAGCGGTAGTGGTAACCTGTGGCCTTGTCGCCACACACCACGCATGGCTCATCCTTTTCGAGGTAGCTGGGGATGTACCCTAAGAGAGAGAATCAAAGACAGAACATGTATTATACATCCTTGATGTTGCTCTAAACAAGCCCCCTTTGCCTCTTACACTATTACAAACACTGGCTTCCCTTTAGGGGCAGTGATGTTTGAGGGTTTTCTTGCAGCATCTGACCTGCAGGACCACACAATCAAGGCTCTTCTACCAAGGTTAAAAGTACCTTGTGGAGTTTCTGACCTGTAGAAGTTCTGTGGAGCGATGTTTTTAGGAGTGGATCACTATTCTCTTTGCATTGTATGTTTAGTATGAGGATGAAAACGCACAAGCACATTTGTCAGATCTCACTTTTAGCGAGAAACACTAAACGCAAACATAAACTTTGTTTGCTTATAAGAAAACCCCTAAGGGTTCCCTTAAAGGTCCACAGCTTATTCAAAAGACAGTCCAGTGATATTCTCTCTCTCTCTCTCTCACACACACACACACAATGGCTCTGGGACACTCACTGTTTGCAATTATTCTCTGAGTGACCGACACAGCTTAAGAGACCAACAAAAACTGAACAACTAAATTAAAGCCTTTAATGTTTTCTGTGGTAAAAAAACAAAAAGGTTTATTACACAGACTGTCTGTAAACATGTCAGATGTTTATCTCATTCTCTGCAGTCATGTGTGCACATGGCTCAAATCCATGTGGTCACAACATTGATCGTAGAACGTTAATGTTGTTATAACCACAGTAAAACGTAACTTGTCAAACTATGGTGCTACTGTAAACAGGCTGCATGATGTTTGGCTCAGCGGATGTTTGGATTGTTCTCTGTGGAATCTTAAGGCCAATTCTTGTTTTCTGCATCCACAAAGGTCCACGTGACATAAATATTATTTGGATGACTGTGTGCGGTCTGCACGGCGTGCATGATGACCACGTGTGAGCCAGAATCGCTTTGTGCACTGCATTGCTGTACTGTTTATTTCCCATCCTTAGTCCTGTTCTTTGCTGAGTGGTGGCACATACATTTTTTTTATTTTTCATGTTGTTCATCCAAATACAACAAAGGTGACCTTAATCTTGGTGTCAGAAGGTCACTGTCATAGCTTCTGGTGTGGAACATGTCCACGTATGCATCCTGCCACTCCTGGTCTAAACAGAAGTGCATCTGTAAGCAGAAACAATAAATGAGCCTTCCTCTGATTTAACACAGGAATAGGGCAGTTTGATCTTTTTCTAAACCGCCTGCAGGACCTGTGACACAGGAACAAAGCACAGAGATGCAGGAAACAGTACATTTTCATATGTTACACATTTACGATCTAGGGGGGAGGAGGAGGTGGTCCACTGCAGCTCACAGATAAATATACAAATGTGGGTGTCTCAGTACACAGACACACAGCCAGGGGAGGATCTCTGCACTCTGAACATGTGTGTGTACACCAGGCATGGTGAGAGTTGTGACTGGCAGTGTCAGTGGGGCTCTGCCTTTTGGCTTTCTTACAGATTTTAGAGGATGAAGGCAGGGCAAGAAGACGGTGGGAAAGACAGAGAGATGAGAGCGTGAGCTAGAAGGGCACAAGAAACATTTTTCCCAGTTTTGTTTTTATACATCATTGAAAAGCTCAAGTTCTTTCTGTTGATAAGAAAATCAATTAGGGATCATTACAAGAGATTAGATTAAAAGGAAAAACTTACAGGTTAAAACTTAAGAGAAATACAGAAAAAGGAAACGAGAAAAGCTGAACAACAAATGAAAGAAACAGACAGTCAGTTCTACAGAGACAAAAACAGCACAAAACTAAATGGAGGAAGATGGAGGAGAAAAGGTGGGAGACATGGGAGTAAAGAGGAGGGGGAGAGAAACAAGGACATCCGAGGATGATCATATAGGAAAAACGTCAACTCCGGTGTGTTGGCAGGGCGAGCAGCATCCGTATCCTGAGCCACTCTGCTGTGGCTGTGTTTAGAAACCAAGCCCAAAATCAATACTGCTGCAGCTCTCTGGCTCTGGTTCCTCGCCCCTCCCACAGCAGGCCCTGCAATACCTCCACTGACCAAACGCAGGGAGGAGATTCTTCTACTGTGGCTGAGTCAAGATAAATATTTTATCCTCACAAGTTTCCCAACATAACATTTTGTTTTATTATAGTGTGTACATCAGGGTGGCATGACTGTGGTCCCTGAAGGAGTGTCAGGATTATTGCTCCAAGGGCCTCACATGACGACAGCACTGCTGAGATGACATTCAAGACTGTAAACACTGAAGGCAACAGGGACAAGCCTTAAGCTATACGCAGAAGTTCGAGTTGAAACAGCAGCCCTAGTGTACCTGCAGCTCCTGTGTTTACGTGAATGATATGCATTAACAAACAATTCTTGTGTAAGTTTTTGACTATAAAATTAACACTGGCCTCGACTGTCACAGTGACTCAGCAGGTTGCAAAACTGACCGGTATCAATGCCCATGTCAGTCAGCTACTCCCCCAAGAGGCTGCTGAAGCGCCCAAAGTCTGGGAGATATACTTCACAAATGCCAAATCAAACATCCTGTAGACTCCGGTTTTTATGCTGGTGTTCCTCCCACTCTATCTCCATCAATATCTCTCTCTGATTCTTGTCTCTTTCAGCGCGGGGGATTTGGAGCTGTCACTCAGAAAAAGTGGGGCATTTGACAAGAGAGGAGACAGGCTTTTGTTTATTGATGGCAGATGCCAAAATATTTGTCTCTTTGTAGGTGACAAATCGAAAGGGTAATGTACACGAGGCAGCAGTGAATCACGTTCCACTAGCTTCTGCGTCACTCAGCTGACTGCATTCGCTGTGGTGAGACTGACAGCTAGTCTTCCTTTTCTAAAAACATGCCAAGAAAGGTATATCAAAGTCCCGTAAGAAACATGGATGGTTTCTTGCAATTGGAAAGTTGTTAAATAAAGAGACCTACGAATTAAGATGGTGGTAGTCTGCTTCCTAGCTGCCACTTACTCACCAGTCATACTCTTCACCGAACATTGGCTGTTCTTCCTCTTCCTTTTTGGGCAACTGAGCCACCTGAGAGAGAACAGAAGGACAGAAACAAGAAGTGTAGTTGAATGCACTGCTTATTTTTTTTATCTGGGTAAGGGCGTGGATACCTGAACCAAGCCTGACTGGACCTGTCAGTATCTGAGGGTTAGGGTTGGGTTCGGACACGTAGGTCAACTTTAGGCTAGGTGGCTGGAGCACTCAAATGTCTACTTTGTTTAATGATGAGGGGAAAAACACTGTACAAACTCAACTGTGTCAGGCTCTGGTTGGGTTCAGACATTTAATACTATAAGCTGGTTGGGTTCGGATCGGATTTGGGTGCCATGCTCTTGGGTCAGTGAGCTCCCAATTTGCCTTACAGGATCCTGTCCCCACTTCTGTAGGCCTCCTGTTTGGCATGAGGAAGCTGCTTGAGTCTTACTGTGAACCGGGGCTTATTGTTGTTGTATGTGCAGAAGGTCTCAGTAGATCAGGTTCGCAGAGAAACATGTGGCCTGATCCATAGTCTAATCTGGGTAGGTTATCTGGGCATGCAAAACATCTCAGTCTTGACTGGATCAGCCTGTCGAGATCTCAGGCAGGTGTAACACAAGTCTCTAGATTTAAACCACATTTTAAAGAAAAAAAAACCCTGCTCAGCAACTTGAGAGGTTGCCGATTTCTGCCTCTTCCTGCTCAATAAAAGGCTACAGGTAAAGTTCACAAATTATTAGCAGGTGTACATCAGATGCAAACAGTGATGAGAAAATGTACGGCACCAGTACAATGGCATACCGAGTTAGCTCATGAAAACGGATACAAACTGACTTTAGGAAACTTTTCTGTATTTGTGTAAACCTTCTCCCTTCCTCATGTATCCTATTACCAGCCAAACATCTGGTGCTCAGTTCAGGTTAAAAACAGGGACATGATTTGCTGCTACTTTAATTTCTAACAGAGGAGTAAAGGTGCTCTCTAGACAGTTACACGGTGTTTGTCATAAACATGATGTCAAAAGAGAAGGGACCTTTGTGTAACAAACGCTTACATTTTGGCACAAAAATGCTCTCGGCTGTGTTTGCAAACAACCCAAACAGCAGGAAAATGATTTTAGGGGGAACAATTAAACCCCCAAACAACTCTAATTGTGAAGATTTGTGTGGGAAAACCCCGCAACAACAGAAGAAACACAAAGACGCCATGTAATATGAATCAAGCACAGGCAAAGCAACATCCATTCTTCAACAAGCATGTGCACTCACCCGCAGACACGCACACTTGCAGCCACACTGACACATGTGAAAGGCATGTAAAGCACAGATGGGAACTGGCTGCTCTGAAGGGAATTATGAAAGCACAGCGATGGAGGAGGGAGAGATTTAAGTGCGGGGGGGAGTATGGGAGAGAGTCAGTGAGTGCTCCTTGTCAAAGATGGATGTGTTCAGAGTCCCAGGAGTCCAGCTTTCAGCTCTCAGACGCTCCTGGTAGCCTCCAGCTCTACTCCCACACCAGAACCCTTTAATACCAGGAGGGGGAGCAGCCCTCCATTAGCACCACAAACACAATGACCCCCTGCTCTCTTAAGATGCCTGTAGGTTACATTTGCTCTGTGAGATATTTATATTAGTTTGTTCTTTTTCATCTGGAGGAAGGATCCCCCTCTCTGTTGTTAGACATTTGTCTCATTAATGTAAATGGCATCTTGCTGCATCCACACCACACCATGTCACTACTGTACTCGATATGTTTTAATGTTTTTCAGCTGAGTATCTTTCTCACAGCAATGCCACCACACTTCTTCTGTGAGAACTACTACATACACAAAACGTACATGCACTGGGACACAGCATTGGATTATTTCTCCTATAATGTTTGACTTTCTTTAAACTCGCTTTGCTGTGGTGTGAATAGGACCTTTGACCACCAAAATCTATTCAGTTTATCCTTGAGCTTAAGTGAACACTAGTGCCAAATTTGAAGAAATTTCCTCAAGGCGTTCCTGAGATATCACATTTACCAGATTGGGGTGGACGGCCTGAAAACATAATGCCTCTGGGTGTGGCCATCAGTGGTGCTGAGGAATAAAAATACAGACTCATAGTAACCCCATTCATGTTGCTTTTCACCTCCACCCTGTTTTTTTATTTTTTATTGCTTTTATCAGGACATGCTGCACAGCATTTCTTGCTTACAAACAGTCACTACTAGACAAAGATGTCTACCACGGGATGGCCTCTAGTCAAACAGCTCTCTACATGAACATATTTTTTGTGTTTTACAATGCAAATTGATTCTTTTGGTCCATGAATGGTCAAAAAGTCTAATAAAAGTGCTGCATCTCTTCCTAATGACCCACAGGTTTCTCACTTCTTTTATAAGCTGGCATAGTTTTATATTTCACACCACCAAACACTCTTTGCCCCCAGGGAAACGTAACAATATAACTGCCTGTTAAGTTCAGGAGTTGCTGTAATTGAGTCCAACTGCCCTTCACATTTCACCTGGCCCTTAATTATCACGGTTTTGTTCTCAGTTATCTTTCCCTTTGGCCTTTTTAGAATACATCTGATGAATTAACAGGGCATTAAATTAAACAACCTGTTTAGTTAAAGCATGATTTATTTGATTTATTGTGACTGCTGCTCCCACAGCATCTTATTAGAAGCTCATCTGTGGCCCAACTCATCAACATAAGCTGGAGTCAGGTTGCTCACCTGTGAGGCAACACTTCCTGATGTGCAACAATAGCAAAACACAATAACATAAGAGGATCCATGGACTCTTTGAGCATGCTTTCATTCACTTTATGGACTAAATTAGGTGTCATTAAAAATAACTACAGCTGACAAGGTGGGGGTTACCACTCCAAGGTAAACGTCTCTCACTCCACCAACTGGCTTCCACATCACTCCATGAAGCTGCTGCAGGCCACGACCACCAAACTCTCAGCTCTATGACAGTTGAGGCGTCCCATACAGCAGCACAGAAGAAGGATAAAAACATATTGCCTTTATTCAGGTCTCTGTCACTCCAACAACAGGTCTCTCCCGACCTGCCACAGGTTAGAGAGCTTTGTTCCCCCTCATTTTAGCTGTGTAGTGTTGTGTTTTCACAAGTGCACAATTTAGACAAGGCGGCACAACAGCTAGACTGATACGCTAATAAAATGATGATACAAATGACCATCTCTTGAACAGGCTCTAGGTCTAAGCTTCTGATTTTAATGATAACAAAATAGCACCAATAAATGTATTAGCACCCTTCTAGCTAAAGAAAAAAAAAAAAGGGAGAGCTTAGCCTCATAAGTGCTTTGCACTACTCTAAGAGCTCCCAGCAGGAAGAGTTAGAGAAAACAGTGTCAAGTGTCCCGTAGAAGCAAGAAAAAGAAAACACACAACCACAGAAAAACACAAATACACAGACATGGTTCAGTAGGAGAGTTTCCATGTCAGGTTGGACTTAACTTATAGTCTAACATTGTGGTTTGACAAAAATGTCAAAACAAAATTTGATTTGGGTGTTTATGCAACAAGCCAGTTCCCTGAGAGGAGCCTCCATCACACAGCCGGGGAACATGGGGCCATTATGTGCAAATACAAGTACAGTACTCCTGTTCATCGATGAAACATCATGCATAATTGAATACGCTTTGATGGAATGTGTGCTGCTTCTGCAGGTTGGGGCACAATGCCATGCACTTCGCAGGCATACCACAGAATGCTTTTCAATTTCCACCTCTTCAACTCTGGAAATGGGAAGCTTGGACACGATACAGCTTGCAGCGCACATCTTCATGTGCACGGTCCTGTACACTGTGCCTCTCAGCACTCACCTCTGAGCCAGCACAAACATGCACGAGCTGTGATTTCTCTCCAGCACACACAGTGTAAAACTTAGGCTGATGAGTAAGAACAACAAGTAAATGCCCAACTAGGTGCACGCAGCACCCAGAGCCAGCGCACAACAGAAGAATCAACAACATATGTAAAAAAGATGACATGAAAAAGAGTTGCAGTGCTGACCGGATGATGCAGCGCGACTGGAAAATATGCATGTCAGAGGAGCAGTTCAGGCTGAAGCTGCAGATGTAGCCGACCAGCTGCGACACCACCCACATGCATGGACTTAAGTCTGTGTCTGTCTGCGTTTCTCACTGTCCTGCGTCCTGATGGCTCTACCAGTTATGCTATTTTTAGCCTGCTGACCCACTCAAATACACTCTGCTTCTCCTTCCCTTTTCCACTGGTCTGTGGGACATTCATGCCCTGTTGCCAGTACCACCCAGTCCGCCCTGATTGGAGCACATGTCTCCACCTGTACCCGTGGAGGGCTTCTAATCGGTAGGCTGTCAGGTAACTTGAATATTAAGACAGTATTGGACAGTCATCAATACCACATAGAGGAACTACACATCCTTGAGGATCATTTCCCTTAAGTTTTAAGGTACGCCTTAATAAAATTAGTATTATTCTATGTTTCTTGTTGCCAGCAAAACCCATTTTATTTGGGCTTCAATAATCATAAGTTGTGTTCACCTGTGACAATTGTCTTGCTGAACAAAACGTGCAAGTGTCAAACTGTTCCCATCACAGTTCTTATTTTCTGCAATAATCCAAAACCCTACAGAAAAATCTCGTTGGCTTTATGTCGAGGGAACCAGGGAGATGATAAATTACAGATTGACCTACAAAAAAAACATCATCCCTATGGCAAGGCAGAAATGCAAGGTTGAGAAGCATCTACTCTGAAGCTCAGGCTGAACAACACAAAAACACTGTTATATCCATAACAGCGCCTGAATGAGGCCCCGTCCTGTGTTTGGACTGCCACAGCAGGCCATTGTTCACCATACATGTTAGTGGCCTACAGCTGGGATTGTCCTGTCCCATACATCCAGCGCTAATGGACACTTTGTTTCCTCATGTGTCCTGCTGCTGTCTAAATTACAGGCTGAGCTCGAAGGGGGACATATCATGCCAGAGAGCAAAACAATGCCCTCTGTCCAAATACACAGCTGTACCATAACCCACATATAACCAATAAACAAGGAGCTAAATCCTCAAATACAGCTTGATACATCCTGCAGCTGAAAGGGTTTAGTGTGCATTTAGTTTACATCTTAAATATAAATCATGTGTGTACTGCAGCCAGTGGTGGAAGAAGTAACTCAGATTGTTTATTCCAGTAAATGTAGTAACACTAGAGTAAAAAAACACTGTTACAAGTAGAAGTCCTGCATTCAAAATGTAACTTAAGTAAAAGTACAAAAGCATTAGCATAAAAATATTTAAAGTACCAAACGTAAAAGCACTCAATGTATATCATATTATTGGATTATAACTGCTGATGCATTACTGTGTTCATCACGTTAATGTTGCAGCTGGTAAAGGTGGAGCTGATGTTAACTACCTGTACAACAGTTTATGCATCCTAATGCGCCACCAAGCCAAAATATGAGCAGTGATATGACCTGGTTGTGATTTGTTTTGTGCTTGACTGAGAGTCCTTTCTTTTGTGTGTATGGATCTCCCTGTTTTTTCCCTTTCTTGGTGTGTTCATGGGTGGTTGTGTAAAATGGGTTGCAGGTGGGTGAGTGAATGTACAGTATGTGCAGGCTTCTTGTGAGCCGATTGGCTGCAGTCTCCGGGGGAAGCTCTCCTTGTCGTGTGCCCAGATGGTCCACATGGCAGCCACAGAGCTTCTTTTTTTTGCACTACCTCACAGCCCTAACATTTGGCCGTAGTAATAAACTGTCACAGGGCTGCAAAGCTGTGTTTGATGGTGGTTATTAGGTGCTGGGGAAGGGAGCTCCATATTCATGTTGCACCAAGATTTCCCCTAGGCCGGGGTCATAACAAGCAGCTTTAGGAAGAATAACACGAAACAGCAAATGTTCTGGTTTTAGCAGCTCCGAAACCTCAAAACAATCAATCACCTGAAATGACAAACATCACAACTGAAATGTTTATCACTGATAAGGTTTTATGTAAAAGGAAAGAGCTGAAAACGGCTGAACGCATATCAAAGGACTGTCAATCCATAGGGTGTTCTATTTCTGTCTGCATACCGGTAACCATAGCATCACTTCAAAGAGCTGGACCAGTCCAGCACAACACACTGACAACATACAGAAGGGAGGGGCAGAGATTCAATAAAATCCACCGTCATGCCAAACGCACCACTGATATCCACTCCAAGGAGCAGCCGGTCCAGTGGGAGGCCCTGTACAGCCAGCACACGATAGACACTGGAATACGAGCAGCGACACATAAAATACTTCCACCCGAATATGTCACATGAAACACAAAATCCCAGTGCACTCACTTCTACAGTGGATCCATGGCCACATCAACTGTCCCTGTGTCCCTAGTGGCAGAGCTGCTAATCACCCGACAGGTGTCTGTGTTAGCTCAGGAATCTATCCAGGCTCCGGATTGACTTTCTTAACAAAAGCTTGTAATACAGCACACGGAAGCACAGTGGGCAATCTGACACTGGGCTCTGGGCAGCCAGCTAGTACAAACCTGTACTATTATTGTTAGTATTACAACATTAAGTATATTGTGGAGACAGAAAAAACAATGAAAGGGGTAACGGTCTGTGTGTATTGTTGCATTCAGGTGCCCCTGTTATCCTCTTAGTCTGATACAGAAGTGCTTTGTTTTATAACATTATTATGAATAAGCTTTTTTTACTTTTTACATCATACTAGCAGGATGAAAACATAATCCAATTAAACATAAGCTTTCATGTCCTTCCTACACTTACAACCAACTGTATTTCTACTTCCAAATATACAAGTCCTGTGGATTAGCACTTTCATTTTTTAATTATTTAAATGATCCTCTCTTAAAGCTAAATCAGCCTGATAATGACTGACAACCTTTTACCCAGAGGCCTCGTCCACACAGAGAGCCCCTTCCTCTAGCAGTGGTGCTGTGAGACAGGCTCCATTCCACTAATATTATGTTTTCAGTAATGAGAAGGGGCTTAAACAGTGCTGAGTTTGTTTGTGTTTGGGCCAGGAGGACAAATAAGGAAAGGAGCGGTGTCAGGGTAACACTTAACTATGGACCCAAATTCTCTGACAATTCACCCAAGAAGAGGAGAGGGGTCTGGAAAAAATGAAACAGAGAAATAACCAATATTGAGATGAGAAAGGGGAGACTGAAAAAGATTTCCTTCTGTACTTCTTCAAAAACCCTCCTCCATACACAACCACATTACACAGTGGGAGAAAGCCACGCCTGGTTCACGTAAAGGAGGAGCTGGCTCTTGATGCGGGGTTGGGGCGGTGGCTAGGGTTGACTTACACAGGTTAGCTTAAACATTTGTCCAAACATGAGACCATGAAAGCCAAGCAATCTGAAAAACAGTGCTGGAATTTGCTCTAAAAGCATTAGAATACTAATCTACACAAAGACAGCCATATTAAAAAAAGCTTCCACTCACCGTTTCTCTTCTCCCTCTGATGGGTTAGGGTCCTGCTCCTTGGGCATGTGTTCCATTCACCTTAATTCCATCCAGCAGCCAATCATGAGAGACTGAGGCAAGCCCCACCCTCAGATGCACACTCATTCGGGGTCAGTCAGTGAAACATTGCAGTCCCGTCCCTGGGGTCTTGGGAGGGAGGTGGTGGTCTCCAAAAGGAGCTAACCCCCTTTGAGGTTAGCGTGCTGTGGTGTGCTGTGAAGCTGCAAGATATAGAGGATGTTGGAGGTTGCACTGGGGTAAACTGGCGGGCCGTGGGGCCGGAGGCAGATGCTGGTCTCAGGGATATGGAGGGTGGACTGGGATCCAGTCTGGAAGAGAACAAAGACACAATCAGATACAACCATTAGTCAGCTGATAATTGATGATGCAGTTTTTTTAAGTAAAGGTGACAAAAATAGACTGGTTCCCAATTCAAAATATGACCATTTATTGGTTTTTCTATTCCTGACAGTAAATTGAAAATCTTTGGGTTTTGGAGAGTTGCTCAGAAAAACCAACACAACATTTAATGTCAGGAACTAAGGGACTGTGAAAAATATTTTTCACTGCCTTGTGGTGTTTTATAAACCAAATGGATCGATAATAAAAATAACTGTCAGTGGCAGACCTGCCTCTAAGATGAAGAAGCAGTGCTGCTGCTTCCTTTAATTTGTCTTTTCTGTCAAGTATTTACCAAGGTTTTGTCAACACACGGAGAAGAAGCTTCCAACCTAGTGTTGTCACGATACCAACATTTTGGTACCGGTACCGGTACCAAAATGTATTTCGATACTTTCGATACTTTCGATACTTTTGGATAGTTTTTCAGA